CGTGTTCGACTCGTTCGTTAAGAAACGAACACAAGCTTATTTCAAACAAACTAAATTTTAAACGAACCGAACACGAACACAAGCTTTGTTCGTTCGTGTTCGGTTCGTTTACACCCCTAATTATAAGTAGTGTGGTAGCATTGTGGCGCTACACCAGTAGGGCCGTAAACGAGCGGAGCTTGAGCGAGCTCAGGCTTGGCTCTCGTTCGGCTCATTCGAAATTGCTCGTGTTTGAAACCGGCTCGTGAATAGTGTGTTTGTGTTCGGCTCGTTAAAATTAAATTGAAAAAATATATGTAAAGTGTTGGATTCGAACCTCGATCAAATGTATTCAAAAGAGATACTAATCACGTTACCACACGAGGTGTTATGGTTTAAACTTACATATAAATATATATAATATATTATTATATAAATAATATATATAGTATATTATTATTTAAATAATTACATATATTTTTATTTCGAGCTAAAACGAGCCGAACAAGAGCGAACAAAGAGTTGTTCGTGTTCCGCTCGTCTAAAATTCGTGCTTTAAAAACTTGTTTGTGTTCTGCTCGTTCACTTAACGAACGAGCCGAACACGAGCTGTTCGCGAACAACAAACTTTTTTGACAGCTCTACGCACCACACCACAATTTTATCTATTTAAATAAATACACATTACTCTTGTTAATATACAATGTAATTTTATATTTGTATCATATGTCAAACAATATTTAATTGATGGTGTGATATGTTTGAAATGCCCAAATATCAATTAATTTACATATACATCTAAACAAAACTCTCATATTTACATTCATAACACTTAAATGTTTGAAAAGTGAAATAACGTGTTTTTCATGCAAAGATTTATGAGGGCAAATTTTTATAAATGTGAATATGTAAGTTTATGAATTAGATATCTAAATATGTAAGAGTTGTGGTATGTAGGTAAATTTTCGTTCTTCTTTTCAATCAGAATAGCTTTTATGTTTGACAAAATTGGCTGAATATTCAAATAAGATGGGTTTGAATTTAATTTGATTGAAATAACATTTAAATAAATTTGTGCATTCATCTTTATTTAAGAGTATATGTTTTTTTTTTTTTTTTCTTATTAACATGTGACAATGGATGGCCACTAAAATTATCATTTTGGGTGAAACCCTTCACATTTTTAGGATGTTATTATAATCTTATGCTACTAATAAAGTATTATAATCTCACCAAGGATTGAGCGGTTGTTTGTGGTGTGGGGGATCACACACGTTCTTCTTTTCAATGTTATTCTTTCCTCCTCTGTTAAGGATTCGGGTGTCTCTTCTCCGAGAATATATGGCACATCTTCATTATCTTCGTCTTCTTCTTCTAATGTCAAAGCTAGGCCTCTCATCACTCTGACTCAAGGTGACTCCTCTCTTGGTATCTGGTCCTTTTGTGTTTTTTGTCTCGTGCCACTGATCATGACAATCACACTTGGCTTGTTGAATGGTTTCTAAGACTGGCTCTGGCCACCTCTCGCCTTGCTTATTTTATCTCGTTATTCATTTACAGTAAAAGTTCATTCATTAATGCATCATGAATTCTCTAGTGTAATTCCACCAGCATTTTTTGTCATCTTTGAAATGGAATCTCTTTGATGAATTTTAAAAAATGAGTTTCGCGTTCACCATACATTTTAGGATGCTAAATTCTTATGGGACGTGACATCTTATATAATAAATACAATATTGAAGAAACCAGTGATAAAAGTTGGAGAGATGGTAAGAGAGTTTTTTTAGAACCCGGGATCTGATCCTCCCTCTTCACCTTTTTCTTCTTATTTATATGGCATGGAGTTCATGTAGGTCTAAAGAATGAAATATAAATGTAGGTTGTAGGTCCTATGGTACGAAGCCTAAGCAAACTTGTTGACGAGACTGTTGGTGTGGATTCTCGTGCTATTAATAAATGATGATACGTGTGGCAACAGATTTGAGTTCTCTTCCTTCCACTGTAAAGAACTATTCATGGAGCTCGGTGAAGCGGCTTGGTAGTTATTAGTGAGCTAGGCACGAGGATCCAATTTGTACATGTGAGCTTGAAAGAACTCACAAAATGAGAGTGAGCTCAACTTGAGAAGCTCAATTCAAGACTTAAAACTCAGTGATCCAGTTCATATGAATATGAACATGCTTCGGAGGTACAACTAGCTTTGTAGCTTGTTACCATCAAAGATAGGACTAGCGAGTATGTTGGCCTGGTTATAGTCAGGATCATAAAGTCATGGTCAGTGGGCTTGAGCCCGTTAGACTCATAAGACCCGTTTAGTATTTTGGCTTTTATGTGCTTACTGAGAGCCATTTTTAGATATACAATTATACAATTATCTTAAAACATGAAGTTTTGTAAGAAAAAAGAACATAACACCACTTCTCATAAGTATTTATCTAAGTATATTCATCATTTCTATCATAAATCTCTTACAAAAAAAATTTAAAGCCGGCATTGATCCCAAGCTCAAAAGTAAGGTATTGATGATACATTTTTAATTAATTAATTTGTGCTCGACTAAAAAAATTTCTAGCTCTACTCTTGTTAACAATTACGTTATCATAGATGCAATCGTATATTATATTTATGACTTTTATTTAATGAATATATTATAATTGATTTGCTATTATTTGGTTCTCTTCTTGTATAGGCTAATCCTCCTCTATTTAAATGATGCAAAGCTCATGTGAGATTTATGGTACAAGTCCTTTTTTGTTTATTTTCATTCTATGCTTATGGAATCTCTCTTCAATTCAATGTCCAACCACGTAAATATTTGCGTGGGAAAGCGGCAGCTAAAGCGCAGTTCGAACACGGAGAAAACATTGCATCAAAACTCCGCACGTAGAGTTATGTGCGGAGTCAAATGAAATCACGACACATGACGGTGACAGAAAAAAATATATATATGTCTGGTAACACAAGAGAATATTTCTTCCGTGTTATTCAGATGTCGTTGTGTGTTATTCAGATATCATTGTGTATTATTCAGGTGTTATTTTGTGTTATTTAATTATTATTTATGTGTTATTGTGTTATTATAACACCGAGAATATTTCCAAAATACAATAACACTTGAATAACATATAATAACACATGAATAACACGGGGGAGAATATTCTCCTGTATTACCGGGCCGAATTTTTTTTATCACCTCCACGTGACGTGATTTCATTGGACTCCGCACGTAATTCTAGCTAAAAAGTGTTGATGTAATATTTTTTTTCCGGAGCACTAGATGACAATCAGGAGAGTGCTATTTTGGGAAAGTGTTGTTTCAAGAAAGGTTTTTTGGGAGACAAAAAAAAGCTTTTATAGACTGAAAGCTTTTTATTTTTTTTAAAAGAAAGCTTATGAAGGAAGCTTTTCTTTACGGGAAACAGCAACAAAGGGGAAAGAAAATTTGATTTCTTCTACAATATTATTACCTTTCTCGTGAAGCCAGCTGGCAGAAGGCGAAGGGATTTGAGGAAAAAAAAACTCGGAGAAAATGTTTTAAAAGCGAAGAGAGAATTTTGGGAGAAAAAACAAGTAATAAGCCCGCTGCTCGATTTGGAGAGGCGAGGTAGAAGACGAAAGATCCGTTTGCGACAGTTTATTTGGTGCGGTGGCGTTTTGAGCGTTTTGAAAATGCACATAGTGAAAATGCACATAGCCTGTTTGGGTAAATTGCGTTTTGACAGCTTATGCGTTTTCAAAATGCAAAAAACAGTGTTTTCACACTGCACATATTTAGGTGCGGTAACAGCTTATTGGCAACAATCTGGCTTTTTCAAAAAAATAAAAATTTATAGTAACCATCATACTTAACTTATCAGCAGATTATTTTTAATCAGTTTATCAGCAGATTATTCAATAAGCTACAGCTGCCCCAAACAGACCAGAAGCTTGCAGAACAGAAAGGGGTGTTTGAGGGGAGAGAACCGGCGATCAAGCTATTTGGGAAAAAGATACTTCTGATGGAAGGTGGTGTAGCCGATTCGGAGGAGGAGAAGGTGAGGTTCGAAGGCTATGGTTTTCAGCGAAACCGATAGAGGGCGAGGGTCTCGGCCAGAGAAAGGGAAGGGTTTTTTATTGTGGTATTAATTTAACTTTTTTTTAGTTAAATGTTATTAATTTAATTGATTTTAAATCAATAATTACTTAAAAGATTATCGGATTAATTATAATTACATGAATTTAAATATATTTATTTAATAGTTAATCACTAATTATATATATATATATATATAACTTTCAATTATTTAATAAAAGAAGGTTTAGGTGCATGGCAGTTAAAACTCCTGCTATTAAACCTCTAAAGTATCATATATGTGGTTGTCACAGTTTTGTTTTAAATACCGTTAATAAACAGACGCAAAACGGTCATTTTTCCAGAAACAACCGTTTCACAGCTGTTTTCACATAGCTGCAACAAATAGACTGACAGTTTCCCCGCGGCAGTTTTCTCGCAGCGGTTTCCTGAGGCACCGCAACTGCTCCTGAAAAGCTTAAAAACTGCAGCTACCCCAAATAGACCTTTAGAAAAAAAAATTTAAGTCAACTTTTTTTTGTTCAGTCTTTTTTTTCCAGGTACTTTGTTAGAGCAATTCTTTTAATAAAGAGATTCCAACAATGATAGCTATGATGAATAACACAATGTCAGGTTTTTCAACGTTCGCTGCGACAGTTGAAAAGTCTATGCATCAGATAATTATGCATTTCGTCAAAAATGATGCGACAAAATTTGATAGCAAGAAGAATTTTGGCATTTAGTGCTACGAGATGATGGATGCGCTGTGTTTCTTTGAATTTGAAGGAAGTTTTGGATAATGAGGAATGTCCCTGAGAGATGTTAGAGTGAGATTAATTGAAGATGAACAGAAGTGCTTGTGGCTTGATCCAAAATTATTTTGCCTAGGAAATCAAATATGGGATGATGAAAGAAACATCTGCATGGAAATTGTAGAGGATGTTGGAGAATAAATATCTCACAAAGATCGCAGAGATTTATCTTCATATGAAGTGTTAACTCTACAGATTTCAGATAAAAATGGGGGTTACTATTGAAGAGAACTTGAATTACTTCACTTGGTTGTTGATAGATTTATTAAGTTTGGATGATGAGCTTGGAGACGAAGACAAGGCACTTCTTCTATTGAATTTGTTCCCAAATGAGTATGAAAAATTTATTTTGACACTCATTCATAGGAAAGAGATATTGAATTGTGGCAATGTGACTACGCCACTGTTGAATCTTAAGTTCTATCGAAGGACAAAGAGTTTGCAAATATGGAATTAATTGAGGCACTTACACTCCAACGTGATAGGTCTGAGAAATGAATAAGAATTTGTCAAGGAAATGTGGCAGCGGTGACACTTCTCAAAAGCGAGGCAAGTCTTGAAAAAAATCAATGTGATTTCTATTTAGAGTTCGATAATTGAAAAAAAGATTGTCTAAAGCTAAAGGAGAAAGGAAATGAAATTGCATCTGAGGCGAAAGCTAATGTAAGTGTAGCAAGATATGAAGGGGCGAATTCAGATGTATCATTATTTGCAGTTTCTCACAATTTATTTACAGATGATTCCTGATGAATTTTGTGCACAGGTGCTACCTATCATATTTGTCCTTATTGAGGTTGGTTCTGCACGCACAAGGAGCTGGATAGTGGTGTATTGACTATAGGCAACGATCAAGCTAATCATATTATTAGTGTAGAGATATCAAGATGCATGATAGTATAGTGAGAGAGCTGACTCATGTTAAATATATTCTATATATCAGGAAGAATTTGATGTTCGTTGGGGCTTTAGAGTCCAAGGGCTACAAGATAGTTATTGAAAAATGAGTTCTACAGTTATGTCATGGAGCAATGATTTTTATGAATGGAGTTTGTTAGTACAATATTTACTATTTTCAAGGTAATGCAATGACTGGAATTATTGTTATTGTTAATAATTATTCCGACTCGACTATATTGTGACATATATTGTTAGCTCATATTGGAGAGGCTTTGCTTCAGAATTTGGTTAAAAAAAGACAGATAAAGAAGCAAACATCTGCAAACTTGATTTATGTGAACATTGTGTGTTTGACAAGAATATATGAGCATTTTTTGGGACTGTCATCCATTGTTCAAATGATATTTTTGAGTATGTTCACACGGATGTTGGGGCCCGACGAAGATAACATAATTCAACAGTTGAAGATACTTTGTCTTTTTTATTGATGATTACTCTATGTATGTTTGAGTATACACGATGAAGCATAAAAAAACGAAATGTTTGAGATTTTCATAACTTCGAAGAAGTTGATTGAGACTCGGACTGATAAAAAGATACATTCTATTATATCAGACAATGAGGGCGAATATATTATTGCAAGAGTGTCAGAGAAATGCGATATAACACAACTTCATTGTTCGAAAGTCACCATAGTAAAATGGAGTTGCAGAGAGGATGAATCGAACTTTGGTGGAGAAAGTTTGGTGTATGTTATCTAATGTTGGGTTGAATAGAGTCTATTGGGTCGAGGCCAATGAATATGTTTGTCGGAGGCCAATGAATATGTTTGTCGCTTGGTGAACCATCTGTCTTCTGCAACTATTGGGAAGAAGACCCTAAATGAGATGTGGTCAGGGCATCTTGTTAGAGATTACGAGCACATGAGAGTGTTTTGGTGTCCAACTTACTACCACGTGCAGAATGATAAACTAAAACCACAAGCAAAGAAGGCGATCTCTATTGGCTTCAGTCATGGGAACTCAAAGTAGGTTGAGAGTTCTACTGAAACCACATATATGCAACATAAGTTCGAGTTTGATGCAACTCCATTTACTCAATATGGTTTGTCCCCTCCGACTCAGATATCTGATTCAGTTGCAGCTCATGAGGTATCTGTTGATACTTGATAGTACTCAAAAGGAGGTGGAATACAATATTGAGGATGAGATTCCTGCTCAGGAACCTACTGCTAGTAGCAGGACCAGGCATCAGAATGTCTCAAAAGAAGCTCGGTTGAGGGATCACATTATATTTTCACTTTCAGAGATAGTGGCAAAAAAGCCTCGTCACTACAACGAATCGGTGGAGAACTTAGACTGTGATATTTGGAGAGTGGTAATGGATGAAGAGATAGATATTCGATGTGAAGACTGCATTCCTACTCGAAGAATTGTAAGAGATCTATATGTTGCAACCATTTGGATATGGAGCATCAAGAGATTTAATTTGCAAACTAGGCAAGCCTTCATATGAGTTGAAGTAGTCACCATAGTAGTGATATAAAAAATTTGATCAGTTCATGAAGAGACAAGAGTACAAAATGAGCCAATATGATTATTGTGCATATTTTAATAAGTTGGCCAACATTGAGTTCATTTACTTGCTTTTATATGTTGATGATATGTTGATTGCAACAACCGGTTAGATTGATGTTGATAGGATGAAGAATCAACTGTCCAAACATTTTGAAATGAAGGACTTGGGTGTAGCTCACAGAATACTTGACATCGAGATTCTTAGGGACAAGACAATTGGAAAGGTTTGGCTTTCGCAATGAACTTATGTTCGGAGGTATTGAAGAAATTTGGAGTTGATGACTCGAGCAAGGCGACAAGTTTACCCATTACATCTCACTTTCAGTTGAGTTCAGATTAGCCCCAAGCCATTTTTATTTATTCTCATATGGTGTTAGTAGAATCTCCCTCCCATGGACGGCGAATCAATTCAATGTCGAACCACATTATTCTTTGCATTTGATTGTTGTTGTGCGAATTTATACACTTTCACATTGGTTCCACATAACATTGTGTTCACTGAGTGGTGTATATATATCATCGAGCATGAATTCTATGTAGTCATTAAGAAGTAAAGCACACATATGACATGGGATAAGTCTAATGTTTCTTAATTATGTAGATATATGAACCATGAAAATTTTTATTTTCACCTCTATTTCTCCATATGAAGCATCACCACTAATAAAAGAATTTAGATAAAAATATTCTCTCTACAATTATAATGTGTCGTAATGTTATTGGATCTACTTTGAAATTAGTGCTACATAAATCATCTATTTATTCAAATCATCTCAGAGTAAACTAGAAAAACATTTAACAGTATAGACGATAAAATAATCATTCAATACAATTATAATATGAACAAAAGGCATCATTAATTACAAATTATAAATTTTCATCCTATTATATTCTATTTTTTAAAAATTATTTTTTAGTATATATTTTATTTTTGTAAGTTTCCATTTGTATATATTTTACATTTTTAAGTATTCATCACCTTATATCTTATCTTTTATATCAAAATTTACATATTTTTTTATAATGCCAACAATAAAATAAAATTATATATGTGTATATATATATATATATATATATATAGTTTTAAGTGTTAATATAAATACATAGAAATTGTATGGTATGTATGCAAATATCCTTTCAAAAAATCCCTTTAAAAAATCTGATCAAGTCAAAACCTCTCCCCCACGTGGATGAAAACAGTTCTCTTATTTAACAATCGGCCGCCAGAAGACACCAAAGGATTCCTCAGCTTATTACCCGCGACAACACTCGCGGACTTCGTAACGGCGAGAGAGCGGCTACAGTTTACTGATAACTGATAATCCCCGCGCAAAACCCGGAGATCACGGCTGCGGAAGCAAAGGGTTCCTCGGCGGCGGCGAAGATGCCGACGGAGAAGCAGCTGAATCAATATCCGGTGCCGAGCTTCCCGCCACCGGAGTCGGAGGACGAGGAAGCATGGGTGTGGACGCAGATTAAGGCGGAGGCCCGGCGAGACGCGGAGTCGGAGCCAGCTCTTGCGAGTTACCTCTACTCAACGGTTCTCTCCCATCCATCTCTCGCACGCTCCCTCTCTTTCCACCTCGCGAACAAGCTATGTTCATCCACACTTCTCTCTACTCTCCTCTACGATCTCTTTCTCCATTCACTGTCTTCATCCCCCACCCTCCGCTCCGCCATCGTCGCCGATCTGCTTGCCGCTATCCATCGTGACCCGGCATGCGTCTCGTTCTCTCACTGCCTTCTGAACTATAAGGGTTTCCTTGCTGTTCAGGCTCATCGGATCGCCCATCTTCTTTGGGTTCAAGACCGCCGCCCCCTTGCCCTAGCTCTCCACTCGCGAGTCGCTGATGTATTCGCTGTCGATATTCACCCTGCTGCTCGAATCGGGAAGGGGATCCTTCTCGATCATGCTACGGGTGTCGTCATCGGTGAGACCGCTGTCGTCGGTAACAACGTCTCAATCCTCCACCATGTCACTCTTGGGGGTACTGGTAAGGTGGGTGGCGATCGCCACCCCAAGATCGGCGACGGTGTTCTTATCGGTGCTGGAGCTACTATTCTGGGGAATGTCATGATTGGCGAAGGGGCTAAGATTGGGGCCGGCTCTGTCGTGCTCATTGATGTGCCGCCGAGGACCACCGCTGTTGGGAATCCTGCCAGGCTCATCGGCGGGAATGAGAAGCCAGCCAGACACGAGGACGTTCCTGGAGAGTCCATGGATCACACTTCTTTCATCAACGAGTGGTCAGATTACACTATCTGAGGATTTTGTTCACGCATACTCGTACAGGCTTCCCTTTGTTCCCTCTACCTGGAACTATTTAAAATTGTATGTTCTTTATTTTTCAACTGCTGATTGCTAAATATTTTGCAGGATGCATAATATGTGCTTTCTACAAATTCATACTTCATTTTCACTTGTTTTGGAAAGATTAATGGCAAGTGAATGATCTGTTAGTTGTATCCATACGTGTTTACAGCAACCTGAATTTTCACCTTACAGGAAAGGAAAGAATGAGGAGATATTCTTTGTTTTTTACTTATTGAATAGTCGTCCCTCTTTTCCAATAACTAAATGGTTTCTCTGGCACTGCTGAATGCTGATAGTGTTGCTTTTGGTTTTGCATTGATTCCTGGTGACTTCGCTGGCGTTGTGCTGATTTATGTACCATGTATATGACGTATTTTATGTTTTTTTGCTACCCGATTCATTTGGCTACTGGGGAGAGCCCACTCAGTGCTCAAGCTTCTACTGTTTTACGGATGTTCTGTTTGGAGGATGGCCTGATGGATTTAGGTTTATCCATTTATCTCAGAGCGTTTGTTTCTGCAAGATGAATCTATGACATCCTTGTTATGATGAAGGAAACTGGATCATTTCTCCCTACTTGCCCTTTAAAAAATGAGTATTATTTTTGTAGCTAGTTTGACATTTTTTTTAGTTGGAACACATGGCAGTTATCATACTAGGCTCTTTGTAAATCTAAATTGCTTTAGATTTAGTAATACTTGGAAGGAAATTGTTTTAGTTGATAGGATGAGTTGGACCTTTACACGGAGGATTTTTTGATATTCAAGGCAAGAAGACCTTTCTGCTTTGAAGTTGTACTTCAAAAACCTTGCTTGAGTCGTCTTAAGTAGAAAAAATCTCAATGGCTTATGTTTGAGGTTCTGGATTTGATTGGGGAACTCTTAGGAACCTGAGTTTCTTGCCCCCAAATAGTTGCATTAAAAGCTAATAGCTAATGAACTGCACTATTAAGACCTAAGATTTAATTTAGTTACAGACATGTCGAATCACTGTGGAATAAGGATTCCCATTTTGCCTCCTAGACCTAGCAAAATGAATCAAGAACACATCACTGTATAGAAAGTAGATAAATAGGTTGTAGTTTTCTTCTTTGAATAATGCGACACTAAATTGGAATCAATGCAGTGTATTAGGTAGGGTGATGGAAACCTTGCAATATAGAGCAATCACTTTTTCTTTTTTTGACAGAAATAGTTTTTGTTGAAAGGATGAGTAAGCGGTAAAAACCAGTAGAGAGGAAGAAGAAGAATAGCAGAAATGGAAATGACACGCTTTCTAGAGGAATCCGACAAGGGTAAAATATCACTATCCCATTTTGCAGAATGGTATGGACCATATATTCCCTAAACCAAACAAGGTATTTAGTTATAACTGATATGCGAAGAATGAAACTAGTTGAGTTTAAGAAGTAATAACAACATTAATTTAGAATAATAAAGAAATACTAATAAAACAAGCTGCTTACCATTGAAGTAGTTGCATCAGTTCCCTTCAATTCAAAAAGCTTTGTAACTTGTGTCTGTCTGTCTTTTGTTGGATGAAAGTTGAGGTCTTTCTCGCTTAAAAAAATGTTTGAGATGCACGTTTTAAGGTCTGCTTTGAATTGAGGTGCACAAGAAATGCTTTCAGGCTTTATGGCTCTAGATGTTTGAGATGGCATCTCAATTAGATTAAAGAAAAATATATATTTAATTGTATTATTAATATATATTACACTTATGTTTAATATGCTTGATTTAATGCCTAAAAATTTGATAGGTAGTTTAAGTATGATTACTTTATTTTGTTATTAATTTATTATTTTGTTTGAAATTATTTTGAATTTAGTGCTAGTTGATATCCATGGTAAGAAGAAAACTGAAATGAATTAAAAAGATTTGGAAGATGCGGATGTGACAAAATTACATGATAATGAAATTATTATATATGATCATTCTTCCGAAGATGACGACTATGAGGATGACCTTGTGGATCTTAATCCTCAGAGCATTTAACTTTTAAGTGAAAACTTGCATTAAACTTCATTTCAAATTTTTTATTTTTATCAATATTTAAAATTGTTATTTGTGATTTATGTGCTTATGATAATAAGCTAAATCAATATATTAATGATTATATCATGTTTATGAATTATTTTTAATTTTTTTTGTGAGTTTTTTTTTCAAGGTTTGCATCTCAATCTCCGTTGAGGCTTACATCCACATCACAAAGATAAAACATCTCGTCCTCGATTTTGTATTTTTAAACTTTGTAGATGTCAGTTACATTGAAAATATGATAAATATTATATCACTGGGAAGCACTTGGCTATAGAGAATGATCCAATTCTTTTGGGTTGTAGCTTGGAGTAGGTTTCTATTGGAATATCTCCTTTTGGAGTTATATCATTACAAAATCACCAACATTAAATTTTTTGTGTTGTTTTTGTTGATCAGCTCTTTGTTTGAATGTCGGATTGCTTTATTCAAGTTTATTTTTCACCTCTTGTAGAATTTATTCAAAATTATCAACCAATTTGCAGCTGACTAGCTCATCTAGTTAGGAAAAATTGTAACGTCTACGATATGGTTGAGTTCTTTTTGTATAGACAATACTAAATGGAGTCCTACCAGTTGATTGGTTCTACATGGAATTAAATACATATTTAGTTTATCCCAATACATTATCCCGTTGTTTTGATTATTCCTCTACCAGGCAACGAATAATGGTGGAGTTTGATTTAGAATATATGCTGTCTTTTAGATTATGCGTGATAAGGGGAACTATACTTCAATTCAATATGTAGTCTTTTCCAAAGTTACCTCCAAAAGTAACTCATGAATTTGAGGTGAGGTTGCAAATCACTTCTTGAAAATGAGAATTCTATTTGAAAAAAATTTTAGCCACATTGATTGCATCAAATATTTTCTTGCAAGCTATAGGGTAAGCCACTTTGAAGAAGCGATCGACTATCACCATAAGTGAGTCCGTACCCATATTTGGTCTTGGTAGCCCCTAACAGCCCTATACTCCTTACCATTGCTAGATGGACATTTTTCCATCTCCATCGTAACAAATCTCTAATAGCAGGACCACCTGCTCCACCTCCTGCCATCACATGATTCTTCACTTCTTAATTATATGCTTCACTCATGCAATACCTTTACTATTTTGCTGAATTGTGTATGTAATTAATATGACTCTATTAGATGAATGAATTGTAGGATTGGTTTTCTTCTTCACATTTGCTCTCACTGTTGCCTGTACAGGAGTCTCACTCTACAACTCTCCTTCAATGGCTTCCTTGTGAGGAGTTTCTCATGGTATCAGAGCAAAGGTTCCCGTCCTAACCTCTCTAATCTCTCTAATCACTTTCCTCTTCTTGCAAATGTCTCTCTCTTCCTCGTACACCAATCCAACTTCAAACTCTCCCACCACCCCAACAATGGCCGAAATCCCCATCCATTCCTCCCTAAATTTTTTTATGTCAAACATCAAAAACATTGCCCAATGCCCACATCCAACTTACAGTAGACAAGTATCCTATCTGGAAATCCCAAATTCACAAGCTCTTCAAGGCAAATGGCTTTGATAGCTTTTTTGATGGTTCAACCACTTCTTCTTCACCTCAAATAAATGATTCTAATGGCCAGCTTATTCAAAACTCGCAAATTCTCACCTGACAACTAGCTGATCAAAATTTATCAGCATATACCCCACTCTCTCCCTCACAATTCTTCCCTACATCCTCAATCTAGAATCAACATCAGAAGTCTGAACAACCCTAACCATTTGACTTCAATCAACCAATCAATTGTGAGCCATCCAATTATGAAATGAACACTACATTTCTATGAAGGATCAACCAATGACTCAATATCTTCTCTGAATTAAATCACTTGTCGACAACATCCCTGTTGCTGGTGGACACATCGATCCCGAAGACATCATCATTTAAACTCTCAATGGATTACCAATCTCTTATCAATCCTTCAAAACAACTATCTGCACACGATCTGAATCTATTAAGCTTGATGATCGCTACTCTTTGCTCTGCAGGGAAGAAACTAACATCTCTGCTGAGCTCACCAAGGAACCAAACATCAATGCCATTGCTGTGTACTCATCCCAATTTGGCCATATTGTTGCTAATCGAGGTCAAGGGAAGTAATCTCAAGGCATTTGAGGTACAAACATCAATGCACTCTCTCTTCAACTCGAGTTGGCTGCAACTCCGGAAATCCATCTTCTCGCCCTACCTGTCAAATTTGCAGAAAACCAGGACATGCAACAATCACATGTTGTCACCGAGCCAATTTCATCATATATCCATCAACAAAAATTGATGTTGCCCTCCTCACAACCACCAATGCTGCAACCCATGATTGGTTGCTTGACTATAGCGCAACCTCTCACCCACATCCAACCCTTGAGCATCTTCAACTCACTACACCATACTCTGGTTCCAATTCGTTTACCATCAGAGATGGTTTGACTCTTCCCATCACCCACTCGAGCAAAGGTTCCTTACCTACGCCTCGACGAAAGCTTCAACTCCTACACTCCCCACATCTAACTCAAAACCTTCTCTTTGTTCATCAACTGACATCCGACAATAATTGTGATATTATCTTTATCAAATCTGGTTTTGTTATTAAGGATCAGACGACAAACCAAATTTTGCTTCAACGACCTAGCAAGGATGGTCTCTATCCTTTCTCCGCCTTTTTTGCTCCCAGCACCTCATTATCGTCCACTGCAACATGGCACCGACGGCTCAGTCATGCTCATTAAACCACCACCAAAGCTATCTCTGAAACAACTACCACAACCACCACCAATGCTATCTATAAAAAATTTTAGCCACATTGATTGCATCAAATATTTTCTTGCAAGCTATAGGGTAAGCCACTTTGAAGAAGCGATCGACTATCACCATAAGTGAGTCCGTACCCATATTTGGTCTTGGTAGCCCCTAACAGCCCTATACTCCTTACCATTGCTAGATGGACATTTTTCCATCTCCATCGTAACAAATC